TAGTCATGTAGTTTTGATGTTGGTATATTTTTTAATGAGTAGTTAACATGTGTGGGTTCCATATTGATGGATGATATTTTTCTTAGAAAATATAATACAGAATTGAATGCCGTGAGAAATTGATTAAGCAATAACAAAAATCTTCAAAAGATCTCAACTATACGAGTGTATGAGTGTGTCTATGTGTTTTTGTGTGTGTGAGCAAAAGTATATAGTTTCCATCTTATGTGTTTTGTGACGTGTTCTAAAACATCAATATATATATATATATATATATATATATATATATATATATATATATATATATATATATATATATATATATATACAGAAAAACAGACCACTTTAAGGCTCCATTGTAATAATTCATTTCACCAGAAAACTTTTAAAGTACCCTGGATCCTCAGACATCACTTTCAACAGGTGAAGTGAAAAATGAAATGAAACTTCAGACTTTTGACGGGTAGTATTAAGTTTATGTAATTTAACAGAGAGGGTAGCGAGGTATGGTGTGAGAGACATGGTCGAGTTTAGAGAGGGTTTATTTTTATATTTCTTTCTATCATACTTAATATTGAGGAAGGAGGGGGTAAGGATCAGACATTGACCTATTTAATCGGTTAACTTAACGTAAATAATATATTGAAAGGAAAGGAGAGAAGGGAGAAAAAGAAAAAGAAAAAAGAAAAAAGGAGGAAGTAAAGATAAAGGAGATGTATTTAGGGTTTACGGAGGAAGAAGAGGGGTGGTATAGTTTTAGCAATTTATGCAAAAAAACAGATTTTAATGTTTGATAGTAATTTAAATGTTTAAAAAAATCCACGAAGAAATTAATTTAATGCTTATTAGCAATTTAAATATTTAACTCCTTTACAAATGAATTAGGGATTTAATATGAGTTAAATACTATATTTAAAACACATTAATAAAAAAAACATAAAAAAAATTTAAATATAAAAGTTTGCTAATAGTAATCTTTTAATATTGTAAATGACTGCTAAGGTAAAATCTTTATCAATTTGAATCTAATTCATGAATGTAATTTGTAACTATTTTTAGATGGGTAATCTTTCTTACTTAAAGTTTAGGTTTCAAATTAAGATGGAGTAATATTTGAAGGTAATATTAAAAAAACATTGTTTTTTCATATATATACACTTATGTAAATCTCACATATACATACATATATTAATTTACATGTGCAATTACACATATAAGCACACACATATGTATCGGTATAGGCAGGTACCTATGCCTATTCCTATATAAATACTTACACATACATTTACAAATATTTACATATATTTAAATTTTTCTTTAAATTTCACAGCTAATGTTTAACGTTAGGTGGTGACTTAAGTGTTTAAATATCAAAAGAAAATTTCTAATTTTAATACTTTTACTATCAAGACTGATAAATTTAAATTTAAATTAAATTATCAACTTAAAATGAAATTACCTCCAGAAGATTACAAATTTCAATCTCACAATTCTAATTATAGAATATTTAAAAAGAAAGTAAGATTAAACAATAATAAAAGAATTTTATGTCATTCCCTTAGAATTCTCTCTCTCTATATATAAAGACAAATCTATACCCATATATCCTACATATATTCACACATATTACATATACGAGCTCACTAATACTTACATATATATATATATATATATATATATATATATATATATATATATATATATATATATACAGACCACATGCAATCCTATATACAAGATTCGATATATATACACACATATACCTACCTAAATTACGAATACACATATACACACATATATATATATATATTTACATATGCGCCTACAATACAGATACACATACATATGTATATATACACACTTATACAAATGCATATACATATACACATAAATGCACATATCTATGTCCAATTCCATCTACACATTTGTATACATACAATTATGTATACGCACCCATGTTTGCATACAATCATTTCCAAATCCAAAAATAATACAATATTTTCCTTACTATATAGTTTTTTCTAAATATATTGAGTTAGATTGAGATTGTTTCTATGTCTACATTTAAAACTTAACTCGTTATGTTGGTTCAGTAATATATCAGGATCTTTATGCTTTATCATTAGGATCTTCTCTTTTATACACAGGTCACATCGGTCTCTGAAATTTATTGGAGTTCGATCCCTAGAGACGATTTTCCATTTTACTTGTGGGGTTAAGCCGTTCTCCAACAAATCCCAATAATGTTTTGATAGTGCTGTTTGGTGTTTTTTAGATCCATTGATGAAGGACTGACGATGGTTATAAAAACGTTGCTTCCAATTTCCCACAGATATTCCTATATATATCTTTTTCTGATTTATATTTTCCTTGGAGAAAATTGTAACTTCGTATATCACGCTTTTTGCCATGCATATTCCTTTTACTAGACAATCGGATCCTGCCCTGCAATTACAGGTAGATGTTCTCTTTTGGTTTGATTTAAGATCCCTTTGTAATTGATTATTGTGAAATTCTCTTATAATTTTGCTATTGTGAGAGCTAATAATTTTTTCTACATTGCTCATGCAGTAATAACTAATTTTTAAATTCATGTAGTTGAACATCTTTTTCAATAGTTCATCTTTACTAAAATGTTTGTCTATTAGTTTTAGGAAGTATTTCTTTATATTAATATTCGAAAGTCTACAGAAAGGCGGGTTGAACCATATAATTTTCCTTTTCCTTTTTTTGGAATTAGTGGATGTGGTATTTAATTGATTTATCTATATAATTTAATGTTTGTTTGAATTTACTTTTTAATAGGGTTTGATTATATGTCGATTTATTTTGGTTAAAAATAGTTTTACTAGAAGACAGTTTGTTTATTCTTGTATTTACTGTATTTGGATATTGGTTTATAATTGCTTTTGGGTGGTTTGAGTCGATATTTATGTATATGGGCGATTAGTTTTCCTTTTGGAAGGGTTTATAAGTGTTATTGTCGAGATTAAATGTAACGTCTAGAAAAATTACGATTTTTAGGTTGGATGATATTTCGATTTTTAATCCGAGAAATTTGAAGGCCTTAATTATTTTCTTCTGTAGTTGGGATGTTAGAGGACCATTGGTATTAGGTATAACAATACGTCCATCATCCCTGTATAGCCCTACATTTTGGGGGTTAAGGAATCTGTTTAGGATATCAAAAATGTATATACCTAATAAATCTGCTATTTGAGCTGAATCAAATGCTCTCATTGGGACATCAAAATTATCTCTGTGTTTTTTTTTAATCCAAGTAGTGTCATTAAGTCTTAGTATAGACTATCTAGAGTCCATTGTCATTTTTATTTCTTCGTCAGTAATTTTAGTATAATTTTTAGCAAAACTTAAGCTATTTTCTAATAAATCTTTAGAAATGGAGGGATAGAAGTCGATAATATCTAATTGAATAAAAGAGGCTATATTTTTAGATTTTAAATTTTGGAACCAGTTAATGGCGTCCGACGAATCTTTCCAAAGGTTTAAGGGGTATTTTTCTAATATAGATGTGTTTATTCTTTTTAGGATATTTTTAGAAATTATTCCTAACTCTGATTTGGAGGGATTTATTAGTCTGGAATGTAGATTATTTTTAAAGTTAGGTTTATAGTCTTTAAAAAGTAGGTAGGCGTCTTTTAGATGAGTTGTACCCATTTTATCAGCAATATTATATTTATATGCGAATTTAGCAGTTTCTCTGTGTATGGAGGATAGGTGTCTAGAGTTTTTATTTTTTTATAAGAGTTAGAAACTTTATTCAGAATTAGATGGTCGTATTCAGATGGATCAATCTTGTAGATATTTTTGGATTTATGAGCTCTGATCCATAGTTTTTTCTCTGTTAAATTACATAAACTTAATACTACCCGTCAAAAGTGTAAATTTTCATTTCATTTTTCGTTTCACCTGTTGAAAGTGATGTCTGAAGATCCAGGGTACTTTAAAAGGTCTCTGGTGAAATAAACTATTACAATGGAGCCTTAAAGTGGTCTGTTTTTCTTTAAATTATTAGGTCTGAATTTACATTGAATTCTCAGGATTTCATCCTCCTTGGGACTACCCAAACGGATTACCAAGTTTTTCATAACTTATATATATATATATATATATATATATATGTGTGTGTGTGCGTGTTTGTGTCTGTGTCTGTGTAAAATGTATATATATAGATATATTTTGTAGTGTGTACGTGCATGTTTTAATGTAACACTGCATATATATATATATATATATATATATATATATATATATATATATATATATATATATATATATATATATAATGTATATATGTATGTATGTATATATATATATATATATATATATATATATATATATAATTGGTTGGGTTGATGTTAGCTATATCTCTGATATTGAGCGTTTTTAATAAGTATCGCGCATATAATATATAAATAATTATATATATATATATTTATATATATTTATATAAACACTTTTCACATATATATATATATATATATATATATATATATATATATATATATAAAAAAACGTGTATTAACATATAATATTATATGGGAAAACTTATATGCAAATAATATATGATCATATATGTGATGAGTAAAAAGAGGAAGAAAAAATAGATGTAATAAAAAATAGAAATTAGTGGAAAGAGAGAAAAGAGAGAGAGAGAGATAGAGAGAGAGAGAGAGATAAATACCAAAACAAATAAATCAAAATCAATATAAATCGTTGGCTATGACCCAATCGTTCTATCAAAATGGCTTAATTTTAAAACAGGAAGAATTTTTTTTCTGAAATACAAAGACGGAAATTAATATTCAACAATAAACTTTAACAAATCTAGCGAACTTTTTTTTTTGTTTTTTTTAATTTTTTATTGATCGCCTAATGTAAACTAAATCATTTCTTTGTTGGATTTCCTTGCATATTTAGCTTATTTTCTATCTAGTGCTTTGCATTTGTTGTAGTTTCCGATTTTAATTTTTGTGCAAATGCATACGCTTGCCTATGGGTTCGACAAAAAGATACTGAGAATATCATGGACTGAGTATGTGAATAACGAGGAAGTTTTAAAGAAAAGGGGAACGAAATGGACATTTCTTCTTCGATTCAGAAAGAAACATTTGACAGTTCTGCGACATAACTGGGAAATCAGACTTGAAGAATTTAACACTCACATGACACCGAATATGGTAATATATGCTGTACAGTTTTCTCACAGATGAAGACGAGTTTTGAAACAATACCGTGGACTGAAAATGTAAGAACAAAGTTTTAAAGAAGATGGAAATAAAAGGGAATTACTACTTAGAATCAGAAAGAGGCAGCTGAAATTTCTAGGATATATAATAAGGAAAAAGGGCTTAGAGAATGTGACACTCACAGGGCATACTGAATGTCAGAGATTATCAACCTAATTAGCTTCTGCAAATGGTCAGAAGAACAAGAGAAATAGCAAAAACGACAAGAATTATTAGAGCTACGAAATATAGGATGTTAACGAGAGATGTGATCGCTTACATCCTGAAGGGACGCGGTTAAGAAGAAGAAGAAGGATGAGGAGGAGAATAAATGAAGAAGAAGGAGGAGGGGAGGAGGAGGAGGAGGTGGTGGTAGAGGAGGAGAAGAAGATGAATAAGAAAGAGGAGGAGAAGAAATGAAGAAGAAGGTGGAGGGGAGAAGAAGAAGAAGAAGAAGAAGAAGAAGAAGAAGAAGAAGAAGAAGAAGAAGAGGAAGAAAATGTATGAGTATGTCTATACGCTCGAACGTAAGATCTATTTCTTTTTTTTCTGCATCCAAATTGACTAGAACTGCATTGTGGAAGAAGAACCTGACCTTTAGATTCGTTGCATTTTTTTTCATTTAAAATTTTGCATCGATCCTATCTGGCAATAAAAGGAACGTACATATTTTCACACTCACGAAGATATATTTACACTTGGCTGCATCTTTGCGTGTTTATGTATATGTAAGCTTTCACTCATGCGCGCATACACACATAAACAAGCACACGTACACACATAATATTTGCATATATGAATTTTGGATGAGTGTATCTCAGTACACATCGTCTCAGAATTACCTTGATTAATTCTTAGTAATGTTTTTTATACGAATTATTTTTTTTCAAAATGAAACAGACATAACCAAAAAAAAAAAAGATTTAAATAGCATATGGAATAAGCAGGCATTTTTTTTTCTTTTACAGTCATGGTTCTTCACAATTTTCTGTCCTTTGTGGGTCTTAGCAGATCTCTTCTAGTCACTGTACTGCCAAACATCTACACAAGTTCATTAGATAAGTCATTCGATGCTTTCATCTGTCCCTCTTGCTTTCAATGTCATGTAAGTGTTAAATTTTCCAATCACAATTTCTTTATTCTGTGCCCCAGAAATTTCAACTCTCTTACTGCTGTTAAGTATAATTATCTCCATTTTGTAGAGAACTTATTCATTATTCCATGTTCAGTCCACGGTATTCTTAGCATCCTTTTGTAGAACCATATTTCTGATGCCTCAAGTCTTTTTTTTTTTTAATCTGTGATGAGATTGTCCAAAATTAAGTACCGTAGAGTAGGGTCGTTAGTAGTCTTTTCTCTGTTTCAAAAGAGATTTCCATATTTCTTAATACTTTGTTTAGCTTTTGGAATGCATATTCCGCTATAGTTAAACGTAAATAACAGATTCTCAATAGTCAATTTGCAAACATTCCAATAAGTAGAATTAACAAAATACTCAATTAACAGTAATAAGAGGAAGAAGAAAAAAAAACTGAGCAATATTTTACGAGTGAAACAACATATATATATATATATATATATATATATATATATATATATATATATATATATATATATATATATATATATATATATATATATATATTTTTTATTTATTCAAAAATTAACATAAACATGTTAGATAATTATTACAAAAATTTTGTTTCAACACTTCTGTCTTGATAAGACAACAGAAGTGTTGAAACAAAATCGCTATTTTTTTAATGATTTTATAACATGTTTATGTTATCATTTTTTAAATAAATAATATTTGCTCTACTCTATATTGAGCACTCTTTTAAAAATAGTGTTTTGGTAATTGAAATTTTATTCCGTTCACATTAATCCTATACTTGTGTATATATATATATATATGTGTGTGTGTGTGTGTGTGTGTGTGTGTGTATAAGATAAGAACAAATGGAGCATAATTCCACTGTCCGTAGCATTTAATTTTTAATAAGGGCTCAATACAGAGTAGAGCTTTATATTATAGGAGATTAAAACAAAAACATTACAAATCGATACACAATAGCTTTCATGTTTCGGTACTAAATTGTGCCTATTCAGGCGATGACAAATAACCCGTGAGTAAATCTTATACGGAACCGTCATTAAGCCTGACGTGCTATGACCTTTCAGCCACAGAGAACTTGACGTGCTAAACCGGAAGTAGCATTTACAACTGTATCGGATACGTGTTTGATTCCTGTACGGAAGACGCAAAATTGTACAAAATGTCTAAAAAAATAAACTAAAAAAAATAAAAAATAAAAATAAATTTACGCAAATGAGTGTATCCATAAAAAAAGCGTAAACAGAAAATATATTAAAATGTTTTGTTCGATTTGATCAATTTCAATATATATATATATATATATATATATATATATATATATATATATATATATATATAAAAGTCAAAAGCAATATAATTTTCAGACCCAAACAGGAGAAAAAATGTTTACAAAATATGAATAGTGTTCACAAAAAAAAAAGTGATACAATCAAGTGGTCATAGCCTTATGATTCAAAGAAAGAAAAAACAAATATAGGAGTAACATCGTGAATTGTCTCTCCCTTTGTGCTATTCTCTCTCTTTCTGCTTCACTCTATTTCTCTCTCCCTCGGTGCTACTCTTTCCCTTTGTACCAGCCTCACCCATTTGTGCCGCTATCTTTTATTTCTCTCTCTCTCTCTCTCTGTCTCTCTCTCTCTCTTTGCCACTCTCTCTGTACTCCCCTTTTTAGCACACTCTCTCTCTCCTTCTGTGCCAACCTCTCCTCTCTCTCTTCTCCTTCTTTCTCTCTCCCTCCCCTGTGCCATTTTTTCTTTCTGTATGTGTTTGTATGTATCCTCCTCCACCAGTGCTATTCTTCTATATCTTTTCTTTCCCCTCTCTCTCTCTCTTTCTCTCTCTGCCACTCTCTCTCTACTCCCCTTTTTCTTTCTGTTCTGTGCCATTCTTTCTTCTATCATTTTTTCTTTCTCTCTCTCCGCTTTTCAACCCCTGTGCCATTTTTCTTTCTGTATGTGCTATTCTTCTATATCATTTTCTCTCTCTCTCTCTCTCTCTCTCTCTCTCTCTCAACTCTGTAGGACTTTCTTTCTCTTTGTCTGTCTCCCTTTATGCCGTTCGTTCTCTCGTTTTGTTACATTTCTATCTCTCTCTCTCTTTCTCTCCTTACGTCATTCTCGCTCTCTCCTTCTGTGTCACTTTATCTTTCTCAGTAACACCGTTAATTGTCCATTTCTCATTGGTTGAGAAAAATTTCACAGCATCAATCTGTATCATTTGTTTATAAATTTGGACAGTAGAAGTTTTCAGCCTTCATTTCCCAAATTGATGAGTTCGATCCTCACTGGGTGTCTCATATTTTCGACCTTGTGCCACATCATGCTACGCTTAGAAAATCACCATTTCACAGATTGTAAGCAACAACAATAATCGTACATTTGTATGCGTAAAATCTTCTGTTTTAGAATTCTTCAATTTCTATCTTTCTCTGTCATTGTTTACCAGTGTCTCTCCCTCTGTGTCATTCCCCGTTTCTCTCTCTAACGCATACACACACTCTCTCTCTCTCTTATTCTCTTCCTCTCTCTGACACACTCACACACCTTGTCTCTCTCTTTCTTTCTCCCCCATCTCTCTCTTTTTCTCTGCCACAATCTTCCTCCTTAGGCTCCCTCTCCCTCTCTCAACCGTCTGTTCTACTTACTGTCATCCTTCTTTTGCCAGTCACTGTCTCTCGTTCACAGCTTATTGATAATCATTTTCTCCCTGTGTGTGTCTCTCTCTTTCCCACTGTACCAGTCTCTGTCGCTCTCTTTACTTATGCTATTCTCTCTCTCCCTCTATCTATCCTATCTCCTCCTCAGTGCTACAATCTCACCATTTATAGCACCCTCTCTCTGAGTGTCTCTCTCACCCTCATTGCTACACTCTCACCATCTATTCCACCCATCTCTCTGTCACTCACTCTCACTCTGTTTCTCTATTTTTCTCTTTTCTTTTGTAGCATTCGCTCTCTCTCTCTCTCTCTCTCTCTCTCTCTCTCTCTCTCTTTCTCTCTCTTTCTTTCTTTCTTAGTCCTACATTATCTATACCGGTACCAGTGTCTCTCCCTCAGTCCTACATTCTCTCAACCTGTACCACTATATCTCTCTTTCGCTCTGTATTACTCTCTGTCTCTCCCTTTGTGCTATTCTTCCTCTTTCTACTTCACTCTATTACCATCTCCCTCGGTGCTACTCTTTCCCTTTGTACAACTCTCACCCATTTGTATTCTCATTTTCTCTCTCTCCCTCTGCCACCCCCTCTCTCTGTCTCTCTCTGTCTCTCTCTATTTCCCCTTGCAGCACTCTCTCTCCTTTTTTGCCACCCTCTCCCTCTGTTTTATTCTCTTCCTCTGTGACTCTCTCTTCCTTTTTCTTTCTCTGCTTCTCTATCCCTCTGCCACTTTCTCTCCGTTTAAGTCTCTATGTATCACCTTCCATGAGTGCTACTCTCCTATATCATTTTCACTCTCTATTCCTCCCCCTCAACTTTGTAGGATTTTCTTTCTGTCTGACTGTCTCTCTTTATGCTATTCGTTCTCTCTTTTTGTGTCATTTCTCTCTCTCTCTCTCTCTCTTTGCGTCTTCTGTGGCACTTTGTCTTTCTCAGTGATAACCTCTCCCCATTTGTACCACTATCTCTTTATATCTCCTTTCCTCCTCACTCACTCCCTCTCTCACTATCTGTCTCACTATTTCTCCCTGTATGCCACTCCCCGTCACTCTCCTTCTGATGCATACTATGTATCAATCTTTCTCCTTCTGTACTACTCTCTCTCTCTCTCTCTTTCTCTCTTTCTACCTCTAATTCATAGCCCGTCTCTTGCTTTCTATCTTTCATAGGAAATTTCAAGTGACAAGATAACCAAAATCAGGGAATCAAGAAGCCACTAGGAACAATTACATCTACCAGTATGTTCAGTCTGGTAGTAAAATCGAACTAATTAAAACAAAGTGAACCTGGCTACGATCAAGCTGTTGCGTTGAAATATATCTCGAGAACGCTGACAATCTCCACAAACAATTTATCTTTTTAATTATACGTATTGTACCCAACAGCCAAATACGCGCGCTTGCGCTTGCGCACACACACACACACACACACACACACACACACACACACACAGAGGTTTTGCTTTTCAATAGTAAAGGACTAATCATTGTTATTGAGATCTGCATCTCCTGGTTAATTTCCATGTTTAATTCTAGTCGCTGGACAGGTCATGATAACCTGGAAAGACAAAAAATAAATAAATCAAAATGTAGCAACTGTAGTTTTTCACAGTTTTACCATTTGAATTTCATCTTACTACAGAAATCAATTGGTTAGATGAACACTTTAAGCATAATTTGGTAAGGTGTATATTCACATCAACTAAGTGTAACAATGAGTGAATGTAGTTTTTCATGAACTAGGTTTCTAGCAATGACAATTTGTTCTTCGTCAAATTCACTTAATTCTTCCACATCCCTTATAACTGCGACATTAAACATATCAAAATTACTCTGAGGTGTCGAATAGACAAATGAACATTTTTTTTTTGAGGAAATTTTCCGACTCCTATTCGAGCTTAACAAGGCGTGTTTTTTTTTTAATTTCGCAATTTTTAGCCCTTTAAATGATTTTCCAATACCTTTTTTTTTGCGTTGAAGCATGAAACAGGCTGTCGCTGCTCTCTGATGACCTCTTTGTCCACTTTGTTTCTGGAAGATTAAGAACAGGAATTCTGCACTGGAAAAATATGGAACTTTTACCGGAAGAAAACAGCGAGAAACAGGTATGAACACCACCCAGACCCGGTTGCAGAGATAGGACATGTAACATTTCATGGAACTTTACAATACACACAAATAAGAAAATAAAAACTAATCGCCCATACATTGTTATCAAGACTACAAAAACAGAATCTGCTTTCTTATTGTTATGACAGCCCTTTCAGAAAGATCTTCAAAAAATATAAAAATACAAGGATCTTGAAGTGGAAATCTAAAAAAAGACGGCACATGAGGACATCAATAATTTCAGTTATTGTTGGAGCTTTTAGATTGACTAAAAAGAGTCCCATAGATGTGATGTTGACGCAGAAATTGTCTGGCAGTCATGACTGGGCTCTCCTGATTGTGTAGTATGGTGCAGAGTACTGTTACTGGGTGTTCCAACAGTCACCCTCTTGACCCAGAGTAGCACTGTCTCCTCAAGGCATTTGATGTAATCCTCAGTGTTGAGTCTGAGGCACTCACCAACAAATTTGTGGGTTGTTTTCTCATCAAAACGATCAGTTTTGTGAGCTGTCGTGTCTTCGTAATCACCATACTCCAATTCTTCGTGCATCTTCTGCAATATCCTCAGATTGACACCTAAACAAACCGAAATGTTCGTATTGGAGCTGCGAAGTAGTACAGCATATCATTTTCCAAATTTCTCTAAATTACGTCAGGGTGCTCTCTTTTTCTCACAGACGGTACCCAACTGACCCTACTATACTAGGCAGTCAACAATTTACCCATCGCATCCTGTACACTGACAGTCTTTTGTGTTAACCATGTTCACCATAGTCTATGAATATAGAATACAGCGCAGTACGTAATCTGTTCAATGAAACAACGTTAAAGATTAATACTCTCGAGTCAGACACTCTACTGAATCTGATTATATCGCCAATACCACCACCAGCTGTTCTGAAATTCTTCAGTCTTCGATATCAAAGGCTGGCCGTGAGTATTCGGGGGAAAAAACATGGCCGCCTTTATACACGTCGCATTGAATATTTTGAGCCTTCTGATTGGTTAACCCTTCTATTGGTGAACTATAAAATGAGTCAGCTCATTTTGGCTGGCTCACTACTAACAGTCTAACTCTCTGCCTTCGGGCGAAGAGGAACCCGGACGAGGCTCCACCGAAGGGCAGAGTCTCGTTCGGGGTGGTTGACTGCCCCTGAACCCGTTTATGCGGGTTCAAAGAGGGAATATTTTTAGCCGAGCCTACGGGCTCGGAGATCCCACGTTAAACCAGGCCTTGTGCCACATGTAACCCTCGTGGGGGGGAGCTAAATATCACTAGTACACAAAAATTCCAACATTTTGATGTTGTTGTTAAAGACGATTCATTTGAAGCCGCCGACACACAGTTCTTTCAGTACGCACTGTGGGAGTGGAGAGCAATATAGCCACACCTTCTCTTATGTCCGAACGGGTCGGAGACAGCCGTATCCCTGCTCTTTAGAAGTTGATTTTTTTCGGCTTTTATAATAACGTTTTCCCGAATGTAGGCTCGAGAAAAATAGGAATTTATTTATGGTATGTTTGTAACATTGTCTGCTACTGGATAGAAAATAAAGTTTGGACGTGTTATGTATGTATGTACGTTATATATATAATAATCGACTCTCCCGTCGCGTTCGACGTATGAGGGTCAGGCCGATAAGTCCCCAGGAAACCGACATCCCGACACCGGCACATGAGATTTGTTTATAGTGGTGAAGGCCTCGTGCAGGACCAGCCACACTTTTTGGAGGGACGAATACAGAAACCTGGTGCACCGAATGCATGCCACAAGGTTCCCAAACGACCCTCCGCAGGTTTTGAATTCAGAGTTGACCTTCTCCTAGACCAGTTGCCATCCAAGGCTATAGAACCCAGTCTGTCCTGCTATTTTACCCATAGCTGGAGGGAGATGAAGAGGATACATACCTTTCCCAAGGGTATTAGCACGTAAGTGAATGCAATGGATTCGACCTCGGCTCTGCGATTCCTCAATCCAAGCCGCTCCACCGTGCCTCCCATATATATATATATATATATATATATATATATATATATATATATATATATGTGTGTGTGTGTGTGTGTGTGTGTGTGTGTGTGCGTTTATGTATGTTGATTGAAAATAGGATTTGAAATGGCCTATTTCCACACGCACACACACACGCACACACACATACATACATACATATATATATATTTATATATAATTCACAGGGTGTATCAAAAATACTTTTACAAACATTTTTTAGTTATTGTTTTGGTTGCCATGTAGACTAGGTTACATTTGTCATTCGTATCCATTTGTGGCCAGTTGTATCTTCAACGTGTGATGTATTGATTTATCTGCGAAGTGTTCCGTTTAACAATGACTGGATATTCTCATCGTGAGCATGCAAATATGATTTTTACAGACGGCCGCGTGAATGGTAATGGACGTGAGGCTGCACGGCTGTATTACATTGTAATACCAAACCGAAGGCACCTGAGTCATTCAACCTTTGCTGCTATTTATCATCGCGTTGCTGAGACAGGATCCGTGGCACCACAATCTATGGATCGAGGAAGACTTAATTCCGCTCGTACGCCTCACCACGAAGAACACATTCTACAAACTATCGGAGACGATCCAGGTATCAACACACGTCAATTGGTCCTAACATGTCGTACATCTCATAGTACCGCATGAAAGGTACTTCAAAAGCAGCTCATGAGCCGTATCATTTGAAAATTGTACAGGATCTTTCGCCTTTTGATCACTCACTACTAGAGAACTTTTGCCGATGTTTTATTGAACAAACTGTCAATCCATTGTTTACGGATGAGGCAACATCTAGAAGAGATGGAATAACAAATTTACACAACCAACATTTGTAGGCAAATCGGAATCCCCATGGTACCATACAGGCTAGACACAAGCATCAGTTACAGGAGCTGTATATAGGGGTTTATTTCGAGCATTCTTCCAGACCTGCTAGAGGATGTATCTCTGCTAAGAAGAAGACGCATGTGATTCTTGCATGATGAATCTCTAACACATTTTAGTCACATTGTCCGCGATGCACTGGCTGGCATCTACTACTAAATATGGATAGGTAAGGGAGGACCAGTTCCATAGCCTGCAAGTTCCCCAGTCTTCAATCCTTTGAATTTTTATTGGTCGGGCCACCTAAAATAATTGGTTTATGCAGCAGACATTAATAACTCAGGAACGCTTAATCAACGAGTCATAGGGGCCTGCGAAACCAATTGACACCATGTGGATGAATTTGAAAGGGTCCGCCGTTCAATGATCCGACGGGTGCATGCATGCAAACGGTGACATTCTGAACATGTGTCATGTACAACGATGGGCTTTTGGACAAATGTTTATATGGACATATACCCTGTTTTGGTGTTAGGAAACCACCCAAAAAGTTTGTAAAAGTAGTTTTGATACACCATATATATATATATATATATATATATATATATATATATATATATATATATATATATATATTTCCAGGATCCTTTCAGCTTATTTAAGATCATCTTCAAACTATCTAAACCTTCTAACGTTCTGTCCTTGAGTAACATGGTGACTCACAGGTTTTACGTACGATTTCCTTTTCAAGTGTTTTTCATTGCTCCTGTAATGGCTGAAATTTCTCCCTCACGTATGAAACGTCTTATGAATTAAGTTGGATCTTTTCTAATTGATCTCTTTAGCTCTTTTGCTTTAAGTTGAAATGATGATCCCTCTTCCTGTTGTGACTTTCTGATCCAGTTTTCTTTTCTACCCTTCCCTCTTTTTAAAACTTATTCACCGTTCTCTTGATAGTTCTTGAAAGAACTTTAAAGATGGAAGACATGTATGAACACATACAATCACGTACACATACACCATGAAAAAAAACTTGCACCAATAGAAAAGTGCGTATAAAAATCGAGAAGTATAAGCAGTTATAAGCAGGGTCATGTATGTATGTATAAATTTGATAATTAATTCCATTCTCTTTTAAATAACTCTAAAAACACATTTTCATTTTTTTTCTCTCTTCTGTCAAGTTTATCTCATACTAATTTTGGGGGCGGCTTCA